ATTTCGAGAAGTTTTGATTAGATGAGATCTGCAGAAAAATAAATGAATCTATAACTATTACTAAACAAGTTTTACGTGCGATAGTCTTTCCCTGAGCCACCATCTAATTTATTTTGCGTTTTAAAGAACTTTCTAAATAGAGATGTACCATCTGCAGTTGCATCAATGACTTTTAAATTTTTATTTTTCAGATAACAAACTGCTTTCCAAAATAATGACATAAGTTGAAAATAACGTTTCATCAAACAGAATTGTAACAAATTGTTCAGAGTTAGTGAAATCAGCTGTGTCATTTACAAGATTATTTATGGTTAAAACTTTTTGAAAGATGTATTTAATTTTTATATTAAATACGTCTCTCATGGTGCGTAAATTTGGAAGAACTAAAATTCCTGAACCAGTTATACAATCAAACGCTAAGATTTAGCTGCTAAATTTTATTCTCATTGGTAGTTAACACTCCAGCGACTAGAGTTTTAATATATTTTTGCTGCTCATTCCAAAATAGTTTCGTGAAGTCTGTAATATTTTTCTGGTTAAGTCTGATTACAGTGAGTTTAGGTTTTGGTTAAAACTAGATTAAAGTGAGTTTAGGTTTTGATTGAGCTGATTACAGTGAGTTTAGGTTTTGGTTGAGCTCTAAGTTAATTTTTTTGCTTTCCGTATTTAAAACTGTTTTCATTTCTTTTATGCGAACTCCATCTGTTTGCATTTTTTACGTTCTTGTTGCAAACTTAATTTAATTCGTTCTGTCGAGGTAAATCTAAGGAGCATTCACCTTTAAACGTTGATTATAAGTTATTTTTATCTATTACTTCATAAATGGTCTTAGATAGAAAAAAGAATGACACGAAGAACAACAAGGGCTTTAATAAAATACTACAACTAAGTAAACAAAAAAACTCATCTTGATTTAAACTAGGTTTCTAAGAAAGTTGCTTAAAAGTCAAGTAATTAAATTTTTTAAATAGAACATGTTTTTTAAATTTAAAATTTTGGTTGATTCAGTCTAAACATTTTACTTCAATACCTGGAAAAAGAACAAGAGAAGAACAAGAACATTTCATGATTAATAAACTTTGATAAACAAACAATTAAAAAAATCCTTTATAATATGATCCTTAGTAACATACAACCAAAAACTCAATAAACTATCAACTCATCAACATAAATATTTCGAATAATTATTTTAATAAGGTTATTACTCCTTTTCTTATTTACATCATTAGTAGGAGTAAGTACTTAAAAAATGCTTATACATTTATGTCCTCTTGAAGTTGAACAAACAAGTATTACACAATTTTTACGAGGCGTATCATAAAAAAAAAACAATTTTAATGAAAACACAACTTATTAAAATACCAGGCAAACGCTAACAACATCAATTTTTCTATGCAGGCTTGTAAGCCCTCAAACGAGGAAAAACAGTCTGAAAAACGTATCTTTAAACAAAAAAAACTTTGAGCTATTTAAAGATCAACTATCTTTGCTCCATTGGAATCATATTGATTTTAATGGCAATGCAAATAACATCTACGAAGCATTTTATAAAACATTATTTTCCGTTTACGACGCTAATATTCCAATTGTTGAAAAAATAATAAAAATTAACAAAAGCTCAAAAAGTCCCTGGATTACGAAGGGATTAAAAAAACCGTCAAAAATTAAACAGAAGTTGTATATTAAATATTTAAAAACAAAAACATCTGCTAGCGAAAAAATATACAAAAACTACAAATATCTATTTGAAAAAATACGTAAAAACTTAAAAAGAAATTACTACTCAGAACTAATTAATAAATTTAAAAACGATTTAAAACGCACATGGCAAATTATGAAAGAAATTACTGGTAAACAAAAATCGTGCTTAGGTTTTCTGCCGCAGATGATTAAAGTTGATAACATAAGTTTATATGACCCAAGAGCCATATCCCATGAATTTAATAAATTTTTTATTGGGATAGGTCCTTCCTTATCAAATAGGATTTCAAATACGACGGCTTCTTTTAATGATTTTCTCGTACCTATGGATAATTGCATTTGCTCTGATGAGTTATCTTCAGAATTATCTTTTGAGGAATTTGAAGTAGCTTTGAATTCTGTGAAAAGAAACAAAGCAACAGGAGCAGATGAAATTAATGGAAACGTAATTATAGATTGTTTCGATATATTAAAACATATTCTTTTTAAAATTTTTAGAGCTTCTATAAATCAAGGAATTTTTCCAGAACAATTAAAAGTTGCTAAAGTTACTCCTATCTTTAAAGAAGGTGACAGATCAAATATTAGCAACTATCGACCCATTTCTGTTCTTTCGGTATTTTCAAAAATTTTAGAAAGAATAATGTCTAATAGAATATACAAACATCTCAACAAAAATAACTTACTGTACAACAAACAATTTGGTTTTAAAAAAGATAACTCAACAGAGCATGCAATAATCCAGTTTAAACATAATAAAAATGATTTTTTTTTTACCATAATTATCATAATAAAACAAAAACATGGAGTATATTAAGCATTAATAAGTTTTTAAATAATGGTAGATAAAATGACCACCCTTAGGCATGCGAGGTGGTTTCCTATTCAGGCATCCTAGTGTTAGGTTTATCTACTATAGCATATTTATATGCGCAATTGCTCACTTTTTTTGTTAGCCTAAATTAAGTGAGCGTTTTTAGAAAACGATGATAAATTTAGCGTTGCGTAATTTATGAACGATTCCTTGAGGGTTAGATTTTTCTAGAGTTACGTAACAAAAGAATTGCCAAAGTATCGAACTCAATTTGAGTACTTTTTTATTTTCCATCGTGGAATCGTACATATATATATATATATATATATATATATATATATATATATATATATATATATATATATATATATATATATATATATATATATATATATATATATATATATATATATATATATATATATATATATATATATATATATATATATATATATATATATATATATATATATATATATATATATATATATATATATACAAATATATATGTTGATATTTTTTGTAATTTTTGTCTTATTAAAGGTAAAATTTATGTTTTTATAAAAATACAGATAAAAACTTTATGTATAAATAAAGCATAACTTTTTTCTAACATAAGATACTTAAAATGACAATAAGAAAGTGTATTATTACATGAACTTTTAATATTTATTTGATCGTCCCTTATTTTTTATAACTACATGAAGACGATTCAGTATGCATAAATACAATTTAAAGCCATTTCTTTCAAAAATGCATTATGGTTCCAATGTCAAGTAACTTTTTGAACCAATTGGGTCCTATTAGTGAACCTTTCTAGCAAAACTTCTTCAACCACTTCTTCAATTGAGGTAAAAGACGGGTTTTAATGACTTTTTTTGTATTGGTCCTGTTTCAATATTTCAATCACAATGTATAGTTGACCTAGGCATTTTCCACTAAAAACTCACCAAAACATGACTTTAGGAGGAGGTTTAACTGTCTAGATTATACTATCTTTATGAAATTTTTCATTGGAAGGCTTTTTTACATATTGAGCCTTTTGAGTCATAATTTCTATGGTAGACTCATTTCTGAAGCATACCAGAGAAAACAGAATAAAAATAATCACCAAATACAAACACTGGAATATTATATAACTTTTTATATATTGAAATAATTTTTTATTTCAATGACTTGCTAATTTCCAGTCACCAACAGTAAAACTACTGTACTTTTTGCCCAATCCAGGCGCTTTTTTCTCTAAAAATCGGTTACATTTGGCTTTTGTGCTGGCCTTTTACTTCTTATGACCAATCCATGCAAACTTCATTGAACAAGGATTGTTGATTCATTTAGTCCCAACTCATTCAATTTGCTAATAATTGCTAAGTATTTAGAAAATCTATCTTCTTTCACTATTTTCACTAGTTTTCTCTCATTCCTTGATGTTATTTTTTTTCCAGCACACTTGCATTGCCTCTGAATATCTAGTGGATGGCCATTTTTTAATTTATCTTTGATTCAGTTCACTGTGCGTCATCATATATCATATTTTCTTAATATTTTACTTATCAAGTAATGCTTATCGGTCAGAAGATATTGAACAACTTCTTTTTTTTTTCAGAACTGATGTCTTTTTATATATATATATATATATATATATATATATATATATATATATATATATATATATATATATATATATATATATATATATATATATATATATATATATATATATATATATATATATATATATATATATATATATATATATATATATATGTATGTAATTTGTTCTTCGTCACTTTGATTTGACTTTACATAGATCTAGGATAAGATTTTTTATCAATTAAAGGCTATCTTATCATAGGATAGCCTTTAATTGATAAAAAATGTAATTTTTTATTTAATAATTACAACTTTTGAACATTCTTTTTTATTTCCTACTAATTCTGTTAGCAATAAAAATAAGTTTGCATAATAATCTAATTTTATTTTTCAATTTAAAATCATGTGTGCAAACTGGTTCTAAAAAATAACGGTTTAATTTTGGTTGTTTTGCGCTGTTTTTACAACTAAGTTACACAACCTTTTTACTCAAACCTTTAAGCAATAAGATATTTGTATAAAAAATAAATCATTAAAAGCAGTTAATGAAGTAGTTAAGCATTTGCAGCTATTTATATTTTAAAAGTTTTGCATAAATAAATTGAAAAACCTTTACGCAACTCATTGAAACTTGCGCTAGCTTAGTAATAAATGTTTTCCAATGAAACGTGCGTTTTACCAATAAAGGTTATATATATATATATATATATATATATATATATATATATATATATATATATATATATATATATATATATATATATATATATATATATATATATATATATATATATATATATATATATATATATATATATATATATATATATATATATATATATTTATTTATTTATTTATTTATTTATTTATTTATTTAATTATTTATTTATACCTATATTATTTCCGGTCATTGAACCTGATCGATCAATAATAATAACAACGTCTTTAGGACTAGCAGAACTTTGCTGATACCATAAGCGTCGTCTACAATCGTATAAATCAGCACTAGTTTCGTTCAACCCATTTAGGTTTCCTGGATACATTCGTAAAATTCCTAAATAAATAAAAAACTAAATTTACCAGGTTCGAAATGAGCTCTGGACATATTTTTGCGTCACGGTAAGGAAGGAGGCGTTAACCTTCCTGGTTAAATGGACTTACACAGTGCTCTGTGACAAGACCGTTAGGTCTTCTTGGGGCACCTAAAAAATAACAAAAAAAAAAAAAAAGGTTACAAAATTTAAAAATGATTTGGTAAAGTTTGAAGTCTGTTTAAAATGTGTTTGAAATTCAAAAAGCAGGTTTAACTTTAGAAACAATGGTCCTGTTACCTCTAGCCACCTGTTGGATTGTTTGCTTATCATATAAAATCAGATAGTAATCCTCTAATCATGTTATCATGAAACCTTGCAAAGGTTCCAAAATAATTAATCTTCATTCAACAGACATGCACTGTTCTACTTGTTATGTTCCACGTGGTGCAATAACATTTGACAAATGTATTACCGTCATTATGCTTGTTTCATCGATATTAAAAATTCTATCAGGAGGGAAATTATATATTTTTTTAAATATAATTTCATAGCTATTAAAAAGTTGATTTACATTGTACTGATTAAAGTTTGTTGAGCAAGACATACTTGTTTTTTCAGGTTTTGGAAGTAAAAGTTCATATTATTTTAGTTCACAGAAGATTCATAAAATTTTTAACCACTTACTACCAGTATGTTTTTTATCTAACTTTTTTATTAGACATTTGCTATGTTTTGTAGAATTATGAAATATTGGTTTTTGTAAATGTTAAAGCGCTGTATGAATTTAGATTTTAAACTTGCATTGATTATAAAAAAAATTTTCATTCCCTTCTGGGTCCTCAAAAAAAAATAAAAAACTTCACCAACAATCCAATCGTTATCTCATTTCACCTCGACACGGGGTGGCATAGGACAAACAGTGTCACATTAAAAAAAACACCTTGATCTTAATTGAATGATTAAGTAATGGATTTTGCAATAACATCCCAAAACAATTCAGTGGACTTTAACCCAGTTTGTATGGTTTTTGTGGAAAATATAAAGCGCTCCTATCTCACCCATATATATATATATATATATATATATATATATATATATATATATATATATATATATATATATATATATATATATATATATATATATATATATATATATATATATATATATATATATATATATATATATATATATATATATATATATATATATATATATATATATATATATATATAGGGTACATTAGGGTATTATGAGCACCTTAAGCAAAAATTTGAATATTTTCAAAAATAATTATGTTGGATTCAAAATTTTTGCGAATAAACAATTTTTAGGGATCACTATTCATAATCCACATAGATATTTGGGCACCCAAAATTGTTTCTTAAAAACTCAGAAGTTTTAAAAAGTAGCAAAAGTACTCATATTACCCAGACCACTTGGCAATATGAGCACTTTAAATTAGCTTTGAAAAAAAAATAGTTAAGTAAAAATATATTATCCTAACAATTACAACTAAATTTTGTATAATGATTTGTATCATTACTTGTTAATCATTATATTCGTGGAATAAAATGATTAACAAAACTTACCATTAAAAAATCAAATTTTATATTACTTTTTATTGAAACAATACTACTTTGTTTTCAAAAAAAAAAAATTATTAAAAACTTTAAAACAATAAAATTACAAATATTTTGAATTTAAATTACAGAAAGATATTTAGTATTGTAAAAATATTTTACTATGGTTATGGTTTGTTTTTATTAAAAAAGAAATTAAAACCCTCTGCAATTTTACAATTTTAAACTAGGTAATTTTAATGAAAAACACAAGGTAATTTGAACATGCTCATGTTACACAAAATTGATATCTTTGAATAAAATTAAAACTAAATATTTCTATGCATTATTTTTCAAACAAAAATGAAACGGATTTCAAGCTAACAAATTTTTTTAATGAAAAATTAAATTTCATTATTTTGGAAAAATTTAATAGCATTTTTAGCATTTATTATTTTGGAAAAATTTAATAGCGTGTATATATATATATATATATATATATATATATATATATATATATATATATATATATATATATATATATATATATACATATATATATATATATATATAAATATATATATATATATATATATATATATATATATTCAATATATGTTTATATTGCATAGATATTTAAGGTGTCATTTGCATATTATCTTCTTTTTAATATTCTTTAGTTGCATCAACATTTAGTAGCAATGGTAAGGTTATATTTTTTTAAAATAATTATAAATGACCAATCAAATGATGTATGGTTTATTCCTCCTTCTGCTTCAACATTTGTGTTATTGCCATCACATGCCAAGGCTTCAATTTGGTCGATTATACTTTTTTCTTCAAGAAACTGGCAAGGTATTTAAAAAAAGTTATAGTTTCACAATCAGTTGGTAATTAAGTACCCAGAAACTTTCGATCAGGGAGTTTTACTCCCTGATGGAAAGTTCCTGGATAAATTGGATTGTAACATGTTCCTCAGTTTTCTTTGATCGATAGTGTTTCTTACCTACTCTCTTTCTATCTCTCTTTAGTTCATCTTTTCAACCATTGTAACTATCGATGAGTGGCATTAACAATAGAAGGGGTTGAGCTATCAGAGATCAAATTACGCACCTTTGTTTCTGCTATCTGTCAAAGATCTGTTCTTTAATTCTTCAAAGCAACTTCTACAACACTAGCAGAACTTGAGGCTGAGGTTGAGTTATTTAGTTTATTCTGGAAGTCCGAATCTGAATTAATATCCGGTCTTTTAGAACTGTTTTCTTCCTTTGAGTTTTCTTCCTTATCCCTGTCAATTTTCACACTCACGGAAGCAACATTTTCAAACTGTGATTCTCGTCGTTTTTTTGATTATTTCTGCTGTTGTTATCTATTCGAAACCTATTCGAAAGATGATTTAACCTATTCGAAAGATGACTTATGGTCATCTTTCGAATAGGTTGCTGATATTTGAGAAAATCTCTCTTTATCCTGGGAACATTCCATTATAAACAACATCAAACAAACCAGACATTCTTCGCGAAACTTTGTAAACTTAGGGTTCTTATATCTTCTGGCAGCTTGTATTTTGACTATACTATGACGTTTTTCATATGCTTTGAGAACATGGTCCTTAATTATATCTACTCTAACTATTGGTAAAGATGCACGCTATCAAATTATGACACAATAATCTCTGCATGCAGAGATTATTGCGTCATAATTTGCGCAAAATAGAATTTGTTTGTAAATATTTATAATTATTGATAAAATTTTTATAAAATTTATTGTAATTATATAATTATTTATAATTATTTTAGTTGTTATATTTATTTATAATTATTGTGTCATTATTGCGCAATAATAGAATCATCAGGTTCTTTTTCCCCGGAGATTTTTATAATTCATTTTTGTTTCTCATACAAGAAGCTTCTAGCAATATTTAATTCTCTTAAAAATGCGTTTATAGGCAACTCTGCGGGTGTCAAATATAAATTCCACATTATAAAATTTCCCCCCGGCCGTAAAAATATTTTCGGGGGTGGGGGGGGGGGGGGGGTAGACTATGATAAATAAGTCTATGCGAATAGACTTACCCTTTTTTAAACAAATTGATAACAAACTACTAAAACTATACGCTTGATTGTTAACAAAATAACTTTGTGCAAGTTTGGTATGTGCTTGGATGTTTTAAAAAACAACAGCTTATTAGTTTTCGAATTTTCTTTTTGGACTATTTACAAGCTTGTTTTTTAAATGTGTATACTATATGCGTTTTTTGTTACGCTTAGCAAAATACTTTAATAAAATTGCGAATCATTTTTATGAAATAACGTGAGTTTTGTATTTGTTATAGTTATTTGCTTTCAGTGACGTAAAAGAATATTTGTGAACGTTTATTATTCAACTAGATATATAGAAGTAAAACTTGAAAATATAACAAGAATATGGATAAAAAAGAAAGCAAGATTTTGATTATATACCTCGCGAAATAATATCCATCGAATTTCACAAAAGAAGATGAGAGAAAATTTTGAAAGAAAGCAGAATCATTCAGGTTGGTAAATGGAGAATTATTTCACGCCAGAAATAAAATAAAAAGATTACAACGAGTTGTAATTGGAAAAGAAAAACGAACGTTATAACACGAACTCTTCATAGCAACATAGTTGGAGGATGTCACTTTGGACAGAACGCCACAATTAAAAATAGAAACCGAGAGGTATTTGTAGAAGTTGAATCCTAACAACAAGCCATTAACTGCGATGCTCCATCCAATCCTAGTTTATTACATTTTTCACCTCTGGGGAATAGATCTAATTGTTCACTTGAAAGAAACTAAGAACGTAAAGAAGTATATTATAGTAGCAACAGAATACCTGACTAGATAGGCCGAGGTTGATTCCATTGCATAGCATTGCTAGCCACATTTTACTTCACGATCAAGGACACGAGTTTAGTAACAAGACTTGTGGATGATCTTTTATTGAAATTAGAAAATAGAATTTGCAAAAACGTCAACACATCATCCCTAGACTATTGGAGAGACAAAAAGGTGATAAATGGTTATAGTTTTTTTATATCTTAAAAATAGCTTTGAAATTTGTTTTTTGTGTAAAAAAAAGGCATTATTTAGTAGGTTTAAATCCAATCCACTATAGTTTATTTATTTATTTTGCACAATAAGTTCAACCAAACATTGATTACACATATAATGTAGCTTGTTAACAACGAAGCAAATGACTGGGATGAACTACTGGACCCTGTGGCTTTTACATATCGAATAAATAAATAAGCCTCTACTAAATGCTCTCCCTTTGAGATTATTTATGGAGTTTAGTTAACTTCCCATTAACATAGTTGTCTCATTTGAGTTAAAGCTCAAATGAGACAACTATGTTAATGGAAAGGATTGGGAATGCTTGTTTTTCAAACGGAATGACTTTTGTCAACAAAATTGGAAATTCAAATAAAACTAA